CAGTAAATGTTCAAGTGCAGACATTGCTTTCTGAAAAGAAAGACCTCTTTTTTTAAACATTTTCTGGAACAAAACATCTATAATCCATATGGTATTGTTTACAGGCATTTTAAACTATTAATGGGGAGGGGAGTATTTTTAAGTACTTCTTGTATGAAATGTCTGTTTCTTTTGCTTTTTCAGTTTGATTAGGCTGCCTCATTCTTGTGGGAGTTGTTGACTCCACATAGACTTTTGTAGCTAGGCTGGGCCTTTTCTGGGGGTGGGGATCACAGTGGCTAGTAGAACAGACACAGTAGCTTCTATGCCCACTGTGTTCATAATTTCATTTGGAAGGTTACCTTTAAACAGTTAACATCAATGTACTCTGGGAGTGTAGAATTGCAAGACCTTTTGGAAATGATGCATTTGAGTTGAGACCTTAACAGAATTATTTATCTAGACATTGTAGAAGATTGGGTGGCTTTTTGTTTGAATAGACAGCAATTGAGAGAGCCACATGTGTCAAATCTCTGAGGGGGATAGCGGTGGGCACAGAGCCAGAAGCGTGAGTGCTAACCTTAATTAGAATGAGATAAGGGTAGCCTGGCATAGGCTGTTAATACTACTGGAATTAGAAAAAAATGATAGAAAAATGTAGAAAGAAAGAGTGACAATTTTGGTGATATATTTATTAAAAAAGAATTACTGAGCTATGATCTGGTTATACACACATGAGAAAGTGAATAGGATTTAGGGATGTGGGTCAGGAGTGAAGAATGAGAGTGTCCAAGAGACCATTAAATTGATAAAATTTGAGATCTGGGGAGAGGTTGGTTCTTCGAGGATTGCTTCACAGTTTCTTTCTAAGGCTTCCTTGGTAATAGGTAATAAAGCCAGTTGTGCTGGGTGGGAGCACAGTCTCAGAGGAAAACATTGCGTTCATCTGTTGGGACTATGAGAGAATTGTGGAGTAGAGTATGTATACTCATCTGGGGTTCTGGGGAGCCTAAGGCTGGGGTTGAGTAAGGCTGCCCAAACCTGATAATTCTCTACAGAATGAGTTACAGAAAGAGGAAAACCAGAAGAGTGCTGTATCCTAGAAGCAAAAGGGTTTCAAGAAGGGAATGGTTAATCTATCAGCTGAGTAAACAACAGGCAAGAAGAGGACCATGTGATCATGGAGGTCATTGGTGTGTAGTAGGATCATGCTCATTAAATGATGAGAGCACACGGGGAGTGAAGGTGACAGGGAGACTGAGAAAGGGATTTTGAAGAGATTGTACTGAAGGAGAAGCCACATGGGAAAGTAGCTGGAGGCAAACCTGGCATCAGGGAAGCTATATATTTTATGATTAGATACAACTGAATGTATTCAATTTAATTGCCCAAACATAGAGGGTAGATGAGGTTTTAGCAAAGTTGTAGATAATGATCTCTCAGATACAAGGAGCAGGGACTTTTTATAACCTTACTTTATGGCAGTTCCCTGTTAATCTTAGAAATGGAAGACAAGATGAGGTGAAAGTGAGAAGGGATGAGAGTATATGAGGTTGCCATAGACATCCTGAAAGGGCTTTGATGAGAGTGAGGGGTTGTGTGGTAGGACTATAGTATTGAGGGCCTATTTTAAGGTAACCTTGATTCCTATAGTAGTGTTTCCCAGTCAGGAACAATTTTGCCTCCCAGGGGACATCTGTCAGTATGTCTGGAAATGTTTTTGGTTTTCACAACTTGAAGTACTACTGACATCTAGTGGGTAGAAGAGTCCAGAGATGCTGCTAACATTGTATAATGCATAGTACAGCCCTCCCCCCCAATTCCCCTTCCTCCATGCTCAGTCAGTCAGTCACACATACACCCAAATAACTATCTGGTCAGTAGTCATGAATTTATGAAACCCTGTTCTAGAGGCATCATTTTGCCAAGTTTTAGGCAGCTAAGGCATTCAGTACAGCCCTGGGACACTTACCCTGACTACTCTTCCACACATGCCTTTTCCCTTATTTTCTCTTGAAGTTTGACTAAGGTGTGAAGTGTTACATTCTCACTTCATAACAACACAGTGTTTGGAAGAGCCACCTCTCACCCTTATTGGTATATTTAGGTATTTTCTTTCTTCCTGGTTCCTTCTCCTTGAACCATGGATAATTCTGATTGTTTTATGTTGATCGTTTTATTTACATATGCATCTGTGTAGCATTTAGTTTGGTTTCTATGCATTCATTTATCGTGCATAACCAATATTCTGCTGGTGAGCTTATCTGCACATATCTCAGTTTGGCCTCATATTTGACTAATAATACTTGAGTTAACAATTTAGGAACCAAACGATACAGTATAGTTCATTAGACCCAGGAAACCACCACTGTTTTGCATCCTTGCAGTATTTTGTTGCTGATGAGACTACTGTGATGCTGGTTCACCCTGTGTCAAATACAGTGTTAACTCTATATTGTGGTTTAAAGATTTTTTGTGTTCCTCATTTATTTGTACTTATGTGTAGTATCCTACCACAAACAAGTACATTGGTTCAGTGTAAGGGTATAGTTAAGGAAGAATTGCATAGAGGAGTGCTTGTGACTTACTTGTAAACATCCTCATGACAAATATCTGGAATGAGTATAAATACAATGAGAAAATAACCCTTGTTCTAACCTAATAATACAGATTACTCTATGTTCAGGACTCCAAGTTTACGTTTATCGTTTTGCTTTTTACTTCATTGATACACATCCACGCACACACAAAGCCAGTTGCCATCGAGTTGGTTCCAACTCATGATGACGCCATGTATATCAGAGTAGAACTATGCTGCATAGTTCTCAATGGCTCATTTTTCAGAAATAGGTCACGAGTATCTGTAATGATAACTATGTTATGTTTGGCTAGACCTGTGATCGAATCTCAACTCTAAAGTGTATTTGGTAATTGGAGTCTTTAAATTTTCTTCATTCTTAACTTTCTCATTTGTAAAGTGGGAAAACAATGTTTATTGCATATTTTTGTTATAGTAAATGAAAAATTATGTAAGGTAGTTTTTGCTTTCTTTTCAGCCACGAAAAGCTGCATACTAAGCTGGTTTGACACCTGACCTATCCAGTCTCCATGATGCTGGGTCCTGAGGGAGGTGAAGGATTTGTGGTCAAGCTCCGCGGCTTGCCGTGGTCTTGCTCTATTGAGGATGTGCAGAATTTCCTCTCTGAATGCAAAATTCATGATGGCGTAGCAGGTGTTCATTTCATCTACACCAGAGAAGGCAGACAGAGTGGTGAGGCTTTTGTTGAACTTGAATCAGAAGACGATGTAAAAATGGCTCTGAAGAAAGACAGAGAAAGCATGGGGCATCGCTATATTGAGGTATTCAAGTCCCACAGAACCGAAATGGATTGGGTGTTGAAGCACAGTGGTCCAAACAGTGCCGACAGTGCCAATGATGGCTTTGTGCGCCTTCGAGGACTCCCATTTGGATGCACAAAGGAAGAAATTGTTCAGTTCTTCTCAGGGTTGGAAATCATGCCAAATGGGATCACTTTGCCAGTGGACCCTGAGGGCAAGATTACAGGGGAGGCCTTCGTGCAGTTTGCTTCACAGGAGTTAGCTGAGAAGGCACTAGGGAAGCACAAGGAAAGAATAGGGCACAGGTATATTGAAGTGTTCAAAAGCAGTCAGGAAGAAGTGAGATCATACTCTGATCCCCCGCTGAAGTTCATGTCTGTTCAGCGGCCAGGGCCCTATGACAGGCCTGGCACTGCCCGGAGATATATTGGCATTGTCAAACAAGCAGGCTTTGACAGGATGAGGTCTGGGGCCTATAGCACAGGCTATGGGGGCTATGAGGAGTATAGTGGCCTCAGCGACAGCTATGGTTTCACCACTGATCTGTTTGGAAGAGATCTCAGTTACTGTCTGTCAGGAATGTATGACCACAGATACGGAGACAGTGAGTTCGCTGTCCAGAGCACAACCGGACACTGTGTCCACATGAGGGGGCTACCTTACAAAGCGACCGAGAATGACATTTATAACTTCTTCTCTCCACTCAACCCTGTGAGAGTTCATATTGAGATTGGCCCTGATGGAAGAGTGACCGGTGAAGCAGATGTTGAGTTTGCCACTCATGAAGAAGCTGTGGCCGCCATGTCAAAAGACAGAGCCAACATGCAACACAGATACATAGAGCTCTTCTTGAATTCAACCACTGGGTCCAGCAATGGGGCTTACAGTAGCCAAATGATGCAGGGCATGGGGGTGTCAACCCAATCCACTTACACTGGCCTCGAGAGCCAGTCGGTGAGTGGCTGTTATGGGGCTGGCTATAGCGGTCAGCAGAACAACATGGGTGGATATGACTAGTTTTCTAGAAACATTTGAGTTATTTCAATCAAATTTTCACAGGCAGCCAACAAGAAGTGGAGAGCAGTTATTACATAGAGAAGCTGTGGGACCCATTTTGCACCATGAGTTTGTGAAATCTGGATTAAAAAAAAAATTACCTCTTCAGTGTTTTCTCATGCAAACTTTCTTCTAGCATGTGATAAAGATATTGAGTAAACTATAAGAAACTATTTTCAGCTTTTCTCAATTAACGTTTTGGTAGTATA